GGTTTTTGGCAAGATCAATTCGGAGGTGGCACCACCTATGTTTAGAACTGTTCATTGCAAGATTTAAACTGTTGTATCATGCGTAATCCTGCCTTTTTACCCTGCTTATGTATAGTTGGATTGATTAGTTATTTATAGTTGTCAATCAGTGTTGCTTGCACCAGTTGAATTGCTTTCTCAAGCTCAATGGTTTGGCTCCACCTTTTCCTGGAGGAGGGGAGTGCTTCCCTTTTTTCATTCTGCCGTCAGAGTTTCTATCAGATGGACGTGAGTAAGAGACTTGACGCTAAAAGACCCTGATTAATTTACCTCTCAGCACCAATTCTAAGGTTTTTTACCCTTGGGACTCATGCTTTATGTCCAGATCGTCCTGGACAACATTGAGGAGACCCAAGCGCCCTCAAACCAGTTCTTTTGGCACCAGAGGAAGGTCTTGTCCCTTCAACATAGGCCATTGGACTGGGGTTGTGTTTCTTCCGATATTCACAGCCATTGAGGAAAGAGGAAACAGGAAAAGCTTCTCAGCTCCAAACTCCTTGGACTTCAAAGATTGTAAAGTATATTTCCTTTATCCCTGTTGAAGCATCAAGCTTATGCCTGAGAAAGATAACTCATTGTGAACAATAAATACCATTTTGAGTTATCTGTTGTGTTTTGGTCTTTGGGAGTTCCAGTTTCCTATAGGAGGGAAGAAGCAATCCCCTGGGGAAAGATGCCACGTCCATGCCTCTTTCATTAAGAGTTATAGCCCCCAAGCACGACGGCACAGTAGAGAATCGTTCGTTAATGCCAGTGGGTGCTTCGATCAGATGTTTCACCAGATCATTTCTGATAGCAAAACCAACTCCGTGCATTCTTTGGTCTCCTTCAGGCAGTCCCTTCCAGAAGAAGGTGTAGCCTCCTTTTTCTTCCTTCAGCTGTCCCTCTCCTGCTCTCCGGGTCTCCTGAAGGGCTGCTATGTCGATGTTAAAGCCTCCCAGCTCCCTTGCAATGATGGCAGTTCTGCGTTCGGGGCGTTCACTGTCACTGTTGTCCATCAGTGTCCATCAGTGTCCGTACGTTCCATGTACCAAAGTTCATTTTCCTTTTTTGGCCGCAGGGTGGTGACCTCACTGGATGCGGCAGTCCAGTCAGGGATAATAATAATAATAATAATAATAATAATAATAATAATCCTTTATTTATACCCCGCTACCATCTCCCGCAGGACTCGGTGCGGCTTACAAGAGGCCGAGCCCAAATACATCATAAAACATAACAACAACAATACAACAACAAATAACTCATAACAAAGCAAAACAGTACAATAATAACACAACGCATTTAAAAACCTGTGGCAGGGCCAAATGTAAGGATTAAAATTTAAAATGCTGGGCATGTCCAAGGGAAATAGGATGGATATTTTAAGGATAGGTGGGCGTGCAGACAGTTCTAAATCTCTTGTAAAGTGCATTTGGGACATATTGCTTGGGATTCCTATTCTGGGAAGGCACACTGGAACATAAGAGAGGCAGACTATGTTTAGGGCACCTTTTCTAGCCCCTTCCTTCCCCATGTGGGGTGAGCAGAGTGGGTCCTCAATAGGGCTGCTCAGTCGTGGATACAGCTGCCGGACTACTCAACTGCCTCGGACCTTGAGGTAGGACGACTGAGTCCGTACCCACCGCCCATGTGCCAGTGTGTGACTAGGGGCTTCCAGATTTCACAGTCCTGCCCCCGTCACCACTCGCTGATCGCCATGGGACTTTTGTTGATTTGTTTTTATTTTCTATGGAAGACACCTGTGCGTGTGTTTTTAATGTGTGGAGGTCAGTGCACAACTGATCAACACACTGTTGCATCCCAGTTCAAGAAACAAGACCATAAGATTAAATCCACCACTCTGGACTGTAGGAAAAGCAATCCTTGTTTATTGATGAAAAATTGGTTACAAAAGAAAGGTAAATGCAGAGTCAAAAAGCCACAGAAAAACACAGTAGTCAATAGGATCTCTGAACTTGAGCAAAACTTCAAAAGCCACAAAACAATAACCAGGAGTCTGTTAGCCTTTTACTAACCATGAACTTGGAAACTAGAAGCCTCTGGGATTACTGGCCATGGAACACAGGAATTCTGCCAAGACCAGCCACAGTCCCAAACGTTGCTTGACCTAAAGAAGCACCCGGCAGGAACCCTCTTAAACCAAAGAAGCTATTCTTAGAAACGCCCCTTGACTTTTCTGTCTGGGCCTCTTTCTGCTGTAGGCGCTGTGACCTTCGTACAGACTGGGAAACAAATCTATCTCTGACTATCTGTTCTCTTCGGTCCTCATTATCAACCCCAGGTGGAGAGATATCACAGCTAACTTCCAAAACATTCTCTTCTAGCTGTTGGGTTTTGTTTTCATTCCCACTGACCTCTGCATCAACAACAGATTCCACACTGTCAGAGTCAGGGAGAGCTTGCTCAGTTGGAAAAACTATCAGAGAATCCTGTTCACACAGATCAGGATCAGGCTGAACCCCAACACACACAGTCTTCACAGAGTGAGGTTCCACTGGTGGTGTAGTTTCACACAATGACCGTGGCTTCTCAGTCTGTTGCAGCCTTCTCTCGCCTTCACAACCGTTATAACATGTACCATGTTATTCTCCGCCTGCTCCGCCGTTGAGGTCTTTGGGTCTTCAGACTGTGCTTGCTGTGGAACCTCCCCCGCAGCCATTCCTGGGAGTGCACGACTCCAGCCGTTGTGCCCATGGGTTCATCAGAACACGCAAGCCCCCTCAGCACGACAAGGTGACAGTCCATCGAGGAGGTCCATGCTTTCTGTGGGCTCACCTGAACAGTCTATGCTCCCTGTGTGCTCACCCGGAGAGGCACACGGGGAGCGTACAACCCCCCCTCCCCCAATTACGTCAGCTCCACTGGCTTCCAATCTGTTACCGAGCACCATTCCAAGTGCTGCCTTGAGCCTATAAAGCTCTAAACCAGGGTCCTCAAACCGGTTCATTGTTACTGAGACTGCTGGGGAGGGGGTGGGGCAGGCTATATTTTGAGAAAAACATGAACAAATTCCTATAGATCTATTGTTTGTCCTGCAAAAAACATAAAAGAACAACACGTTATTTAAAATGATGAACAATTTTATGCAGTATAAACTTACCAGTATTTCAGTGGGAATGGTGGGCCTGCTTTTGGCTGATGAGATAGTCAAGTTAATTCAGACTGTTGTTGTTGTGTGACCCGAAGCTGTTTCAGACTTAGAGTGACCCTAAGTCTAAAATTTAGACCAGGGACCAAAAAAAGACCTTGGAGGGCCGCATCCGGCCCATGGGCCTTAGTCTGAGAACCCTTGCTTTAAACAGTTCTGGCCCAGCTTATCTGGTTTCTTAGTTATGTTTCTCCCACCAACGAATATTACACACACACACACCTATATATATGACATGCTTTCAGCTCTGAAAGCAATAAACCCCTGTTCCTGTGGCCTTCAAACCAGGTCTATGTGTTGATCTGGTTTAAAAGTAGCAGGCGCTCTGGTTACGGGGTTTACACGGCTCCTCAAGTGGTTATCTGTATTCTGGCATCACAAGAAAGACTTTTTCTCTTCAAGACCCCCAGCTTTCTTAGGATTTCCTTTTGAGAGGCCAGACTTGGAGGCCCTTGTTTTTATTTAATGTATGGGGGAAATTGGCACATTGGCTTCTCCCTTTTCTCTCTGTTCCACCCACGTACGGGAGAGCATTTGGGAGGAAGCTTCTGTGGGAGGAGTGGTCAGAGGAGATTCCCCAGGCCAGGACTTCATTCCTTTTAATTCCGGCAAACATTTCTCCCTCCCTATATGGAAATGCCCTGTTTCTCTAGATCTTTGAGCTGTTGGGAAATGTCCCCTGGACAGAAGCAAAGGAGAAGAGGGATGACTGGGCTGAGGAGAAGAAGCTGGGAAGGAAGGAAGGAAGGAAGGAAGGAAGGAAGGAAGGAAGGAAGGAAGGAAGGAAGGAAGGAAGGAAGGAAGGAAGGAAGGAAGGAGGCTTTCCTGCCTTGGCATCCCATCTTGGGCACAACGGAGGGAGGGAAAGGCAGAGAGGGAATGGCTTCAGCCGAGTCGAATGTTGTGAATACCTCCATATGTTTAAATCTGGATTTATTTATTTATTTATTTACCTTATATACCACTGTTCTCAGCCCGAAGGCGACTCACAGCGGTTCACAACAAATATGAACAGCAAAAATTCAGTGCTACAGTATAAAAACAGTTAACAACCTAACACATTACACAATTAATAAACAGTTACTATAATACCCATTCACTGTCGTCTCATCATCAAAAACATGTTCCAGATTCGTCATCCATTGTTCCATTCCAGTGTTCATTAACCAATCATTGCACTAATTATTCGAACGCCTGCTCAAACAGCCAGGTCTTCACTTTTTTGCGGAATACCATTAGAGATGGTACTAGTCTAATATCCGTAGGAAGGGAGTTCCACAGCCGAGGAGCCACCACTGAGAAGGCCCTATCTCTCGTCCCCGCCAGCCGAGCTTGAGAAGCAGGCGGGATCGAGAGCAGGTTCTCCCCGGAAGATCTCAAAGTCCTGGTGGGTTCATAGGCAGAGATGCGGTCGGATAGGTAGCTTGGGCCGGAACTGTTTAAGGCTTTAAAGGCCAACGCCAGCACTTTGAATTGAGCCCGGTAGCAGATCGGTAGCCAGTGGAGTTGGCGCAACAGGGGGGTTGTATGCTCCCTGCGCTCCGAGCGTTGGACTAGTTGGAGCTTCTGAGCTGTCTTCAAAGGCAACCCCACGTAGAGAGCGTTGCCGTAGTCTAAATTTGACGTATCCAGATTGGAGGCAGATTCTTGGCTGAGTGGAGGATTCATTTGGGAATACCAGGAAATTTGGTAGCAGCAAACCTTTATGAAGAGAAAGGAGGGAATTGAGTTTTTCAGCTTCATGTCTAATCTTTTGCTGTTTCTTTCTTGACCAGGAACATAAGGATTACATGGCGATAGCTCTGGTGCGATGACAATCAAACAGCATCTAGTGGACATTGGGTAATTTGGAAACCAAAGAAGCTGTAAGGAAAAGGGTCCTGTATGAAAAAGACATCCCCTCCAGGTGCTGATCTCGCTGAACTGACTTTGGGGAAAAAGAAAGGGGGGAAAAAGACAGAAGTGTCCATATTGCAGTCAAAAATACATACCACTGTTAACATGCAGGAGAAACCCTATAAATGCCTGGAGTGTGGAAAGAGTTTCACTTTGAAACATAATCTGCAGCGACATGAAAGGATTCACACTGGTGATCAAAATCTGCAGTCACATCAAAGGACTCATACTGGGGAGAAACCCTATACATGCCTGGAATGTGGCCAGAACTTCACTCAGAGTGCACACCTACGTAGACACCAACTAACTCACACTGGGGAGAAACCCTATAAATGCCTGGAGTGTGGAAAGAGCTACACTCAGAGAGGAGTTCTGCGTTCACATCAACGAACTCACACTGGGGAGAAACCCTATGAATGCCTGGAGTGTGGAAAGAGTTTCACTTTGAGCCATCAGCTGCAGCAACATGAAAGGATCCACACTGGGGAGAAACCCTATAAATGCCTGGAGTGTGGAAAGAACTTCACAAGAATTCATACTGGTAAGAAACCTTATAAATGCCTGGTGTGTGGAAAGAGTTTCAATAATAGTGGAAGTCTACACAACCACCAACGAACTCACACTGGGAAGAAACCCTATAAATGCCTGGAGTGTGGAAAGAGCTTCACTCAGCATGAGAATCTACAGTCTCACTGCAGAACTCACACTGGGGAGAAACCCTATACATGTCTGGAATGTGGAAAGAACTTCAGCCATAGTGGAAGTCTACATTCACATCAAAGGAGGCACACTGGGGAGAAACCCTATACATGCCTGGAGTGTGGAAAGAGCTTCACTCAGAATTCAAACCTACATACACACCAACAAACTCACAATGGGGGAAAACCTTGTACATGCATAGAATRTGGAAAGAGCTTCTCTAACAGTGGAAGTTTACRTTTACATCAAAGGACTCACACTGGGGAGAAGCCCTATCAATGCCTGCAGTGTGGAAAGAGCGTCACTGACAGTGGACATTTACGTTCACATCAAAGGACTCACACTGGGGAGAAACCCTATACATGCATGGAGTGTGGAAAGAGCTTCACTCAGAGGGGTAATCTGCAGCAACATGAAAGGATTCACACTGGGGAGAAACCCTATACATGCCTGGAATGTGGACAGAGCTTCACTCAGAGTTCACACCTACGTAGACATCAACGCACTCACACTGGGGAGAAACCTTATACATGCCTGAAATGTGGCCAGAGCTTTACTCAGAGTTCACACCTACGTAGACACCAACTAACTCACACCGGGGAGAAACCTTATAAATGCCTGGACTGTGGAAAGAGTTTCACTCGGAGTGGAGATCTACGTTCACATCAACAAACTCACACTGGGGAGAAACCCTATGAATGCCTGGAGTGTGGAAAGAGTTTCACTTGGAGGCATCAGCTGCAGCAACATGGAAGGATTCATACTGGTAAGAAACCTTATAAATGCCTGATGTGTGGAAAGAGTTTCAATAATAGTGGAAGTCTACATAACCACCAACGAACTCACACTGGGAAGAAACCCTATAAATGCCTGGAGTGTGGAAAGAGCTTCACTCAGCATGGGAATCTACAGTCTCACTGCAGAACTCACACTGGGGAGAAACCCTATACATGTCTGGAATGTGGAAAGAACTTCAGCCAGAGTGGAAGTCTACATTCACATCAAAGGACGCACACTGGGGAGAAACCCTATACATGCCTGGAGTGTGGAAAGAGCTTCACTCAGAATTCAAACCTACATACACACCAACAAACTCACAATGGGGGAAAACCTTGTACATGCATAGAATGTGGAAAGAGCTTCTCTAACAGTGGAAGTTTACGTTTACATCAAAGGACTCACACTGGGGAGAAACCCTATACATGCATGGAGTGTGGAAAGAGCTTCACTCAGAGGGGTAATCTGCAGCAACATGAAAGGATTCACACTGGGGAGAAACCCTATAAATGCCTGGAATGTGGAAAGAGCTTCCGTGATAGTGGAACCCTACATAAACACCAACGAACTCACACTGGGGAGAAACCCTATAAATGCCTGGAGTGTGGAAAGAGCTTCACTGCCAGTGGAGACCTATGTAAACACCAACGAACTCATACTGGGGAGAAACCCTATCAATGCCTGGAGTGTGGAAAGAGCTTCTCTCGTAGTAGAGGTCTACGAGGACACCAACGAACTCACACTGGGGAGAAACCCTAGCGATGCCTGGAGTGTGGAAAGAGCATCTGTGAAAGTGGAAATCTTCAAAAACATAATAGAACCCACACTGGGATGCCTTGAGTGTGGAAAGCACTCACATTCTAGTAAAATGATGCCTATAGAGACCCTCTTAAGATGTACAAAGGCAAGTCTACCAAATGTAAATGACAGCATAATGTTGGGAATTTCATCATCCTGTGGTGATCTTGCAGAAATGCTCAGAAATATTGGGTTGAAATAGATAAATGTAGAAGAATGGGAGGAACTTTGGAAGAATAGATTACAATTTACAAGAAGTTACTCTGTTAAAAGTTTTTTTTACAAAAGGATCCACAGATGTTACATAACTCCAGAAAAACCCTCAAAGATAAATTAAAATACTGAATTTATGCTGGAAATGTATTAGAAATGACGGGAACCTTGTATCATATGTGCTGAACTTCCAGCTAAAAGTGCATAGCAACATTGAAAAAAACAAAACTAAGTAACACTGAATCCAGAACCTTTTTAATTGGGACTTTTAGACAAGCATATCCTAAAATAGCAGGAAATAATCTTCCTGTACGTGACTACAGCAGCAAGAAATTAATATGCAAAGTTATTGATAAAAAAAACACCAACACCAGAGGAATGGATTACAATTTTTTTCAAATGGCTGAAATTTACAAATTAACTTTAACTCTACAAGAAGATGATACATAAAAGCTGCAATAGAATTTGTGAACTAAAAGTGTTATGAGATAATACATTTGTTTAAACTATATAACTTGTATGTATAAGAGCAAAAAAAGTTTTGGAAAATTAATGACTTAATATTTCTGAATTAAAGTAGAAAAATGTATAACTTCAAGAAGATCGATACTAGATATACAGTTATATAAGATTTATTATGTGTAGATCCTACATGAAGGATAATTATAAGTATGTACATGTATATTACTAATCTATTACCATATCTTAACTAAATAAGTTATGTATATAGTTGACTGCCATCAAGAAGAGAAAAAATAAGGTTTCACTTAGGCGATCGCCCGTTCTCCGAGTATGAGGGCCTTCCAAATGTAGTGTCTTGATGGTGGATACGGAGGTGACAGTGAAGCCCTATCCTTGACCTGCATGTTCTTCCACAGTGAGGGCATCGGTTTCCAGTCAGGGTTGGCATGATGCGCATTCCTCTTGGCCCCTTTCTCCCTCCATTCATGCCTCTTCAAATTCCACAGCACTGCTGGTCACAGCTGACCTCTAGCTAGAGCGCTCAAGGGACAGGACTCCCCAGTTCATGTCTATGCCACAGTTTTTAAGGTTAGCTTTAAGTTCATCTTTAAATCTCTTTTCCTGTTCACCACCCTTCCATGTTCTGTTCTTGACTTGGGAGTATTGTAACTGCTTTGGGAGATGGTGATCGGGCATTCAGACAATGTGGCCAGTCCAGTGGAGTTGGTGATGTAGGAGCATCGCTTCAGTGCTGGTGGTCTTTGCTTCTTCCAGCACGCTAACATTTGTCCATTTGTCTTCCCAAGAGATTTGCAGGATTTTTCGGAGCCAAAGCTGATGGAACCATTTCAGGAGTTGAGTGTGACGTCTATAGAGAGTCCACGTTTCAGAACTGTATAGCAGGGTTGGGAGGACAATCTATATATATAGAAATGTATAAATATGTGAGAGGAAGCCACAGGGAGGAGGGAGCAAGCTTGTTTTCTGCTTCCTTGGAGACTAGGACGCAGAACAATGGCTTCAAACTACAAGAGAGGAGATTCCATCTGAACATGAGGAAGAACTTCCTGACTGTGAGAGCCGTTCAGCAGTGGAACTCTCTGCCCCGGAGTGTGGTGGAGGCTCCTTCTTTGGAAGCTTTTAAGCAGGGGCTGGATGGCCATTTGTCAGGGGTGATTTGAATGCAATATTCCTGCTTCTTGGCAGAATGGGGTTGGAGTGGATGGCCCATGAGGTCTCTTCCAACTCTTTGATTCTATGATTCTATGATTCTATGAAATGCTCTGTGCGTAATAAGTTCCTTAAAAACAAAAGAACCAATGAACGAAATCACAAACTTCTCACAACACAAGGAGTGACCATCACTCTCTCTCTCTCTCTCACTCTCTCTCTCTCTCTCTCTCTCTCTCTCTATATATATATATATATATATATATATATATATATGATTTTGTCATTTGGGAATTGTAGTTGCTGGGATTTATAGTTCATCTATAATCAAAGAGCATCCTGAAGTCCAGCAATGATGGAATTGAACCAAACTTGCCACACAGGACTCCCTTGACCAAGAGAAAACACTAGAAGGGTTTGGTGGGCATTGACTTTGAGTTTGGGAGTTGTAGTTCACCTACATCTAGAGAGCACTGTGGACTCAAACAATGATGAATCTGGACCAAATTTGGCATGAATACTCAATATGCCCAAATATAAACACAGATGGAGTTTGGGGAAAATAGACCCTGACATTTGGGAGTTGTAGTTACTGGGGTTTATCATTCCCCTACAATTGAGCATTCTGAACCCCACCAATGACAGAATTGGGGCAAACTTCCCACAACCCTCATGACCAACAGAAAATACTGTGTTTTCTGCTGGTCTTTGGTGACCCTTCTGACCCCCCCCCCCGTGACCCCTTCCCCCCCCCGCCCGCATGTGGTCATGACTTCCTGGGTTGAGAAATGCTGCCTTAAGCATTCTGAACCCCACCAATGACAGAATTGGGGCAAACTTCCCACACAGAACCCCCATGACCAACAGGAAATACTTAAGGTCATCCACTCCAACTCCAATAAAGCCCTCTTTATAGCTTTATTATCATTATATAATAATAAACAATTGAAAAAAGAGGATAAAGAAGCGATAACAAATTTATTAACAATAGCAAGATTGCTTATAGCAAGGAACTGGAAAAAAGAAATAAATATACAAATAGAGGAGTGGTATAAGGAAGTATGGAAACTGGCAATAAATGATAAGCTGACATGTATATTAAAAGTTAAAAGAGGTATATGGAAACAAAGTGATTTTGATGTATGGAGAAAATTTATTGAAAAAGGATTAAAAAATAAAGAAGGAAAGTTACCTCCACAAGAAGAATTTAAATTTTGGACAGATATGTAAAAGCTGTAGCTTGGGGGTGGGGGGTGGGGAGCGTACTTACTTAGGCGATCCCTCGGATGAGTAAGATGGTCTTCCATTATGCGTTTCCTTGTGGGTTCGTAGGTGGCTGTGGAGCCGTATTCTTGACCCGCATCTTCTTCCGCAGTGAAGGCATTGGTTTCCAGGTGGAAGGCGGTCCCGGTTGGGGTTGGCTTGACGCGCCTTCCTCCTGGCACGTGTAAAGGAGGGTAAAACTACTGCCACCAAATTTGTGAGGAAAGCCGGGCAATGATCAACATCAGCTTAGGAGCTAGTTTATAAAGGGACTATTAATTACAGAAGGCTTTATTCATTTGATAGCGTAGCGTTTACTGTCCCTGGCTTGACTTTACTTCTTATGCAGGCTGTTTGTCTTAAGAGAAACTGTATCAGGCAAGGCTTGAGGAAAACAGTAACAAGTTTATTTTAACAGGAGTATAACATGTTCAATTGTTTCTTCACAAGAGGCACAAATCTTGATTGGTTACATTAGTACGGTTTCATGAGTAACCTCAGGCACAGACTTCCAAGAAGTTTCTATAAGCAGATGTAACTCTTCTGGACAACTGTCCCAACAAAACAAATAAGCCAAAAGGTCTATTCAACAGAATTGGCTCCTAGCCAAACCTTGATTCTTAACCCAGAATCAATAACCCCCTGTAGTTTTATCACTACCAGGTCCTTTCCTGTAACCCCTTTGGTCACAAATTAATTCCCTGTAACACTAACGGTCACAGACAAATTCCCTGTTTCTCCCACTAGAGAAATCAGTCTCTTCCTGTAGCTCTCCGGCTTACAGACTGCCACTTTCAAAAAGCTGCACCGTGAAGTGACAGCTGTCTCCGCCCCCATTGCTATGGCAACTCAGCTCAAGCCACCAGCCACCATCTCTAACAAAATATAATCCTACATACTTACCATTTATTAACTACTGTTTAAACAACACATAACCATATGAATAAAAATTCCACATCGTCACAGCACGCTTCTCTCTTTCGCCCTCCACTCGTGCCTCCTCGAATTCTGTAGCACTGCTGGTCACAACTGACCTCGAGCTGGAGCGCTCAAGGGCCAGGGCTTCCCAGTTCTCAGTGTCTATGCCAGAGATTTTAAGGTTGGCTTTGAGGCCCTCTTTAAATCTCTTTTCCTGTCCACCAACATTCCGTTTTCCGTTCTTAAGTTCAGAGTAGAGATAACGTGGCCGGTCCAGCGGAGTTGATGGCAGAGGACCATCGCTTCAATGCTGGTGGTCTTTGCTTCTTCCAGCACGCTGACGTTTGTCTGCTTGTCTTCCCAGGAGATTTGCAGGATTTTCTGGAGGCAGCGCTGATGGAATCGTTCCAGGAGTTGCATGTGACATCTGTAGACAGTCCACATTTCACAGGCATATAGCAGGGTTGGGAGGACAAGCACCTTGGTATCCCTACGGATGTCTCGGTCCTCAAGCACTCTCTGCTTCATTCGGGAAAATGCTGCACTCGCAGAGCTCAGGTGGTGTTGTATTTCGGTGTCGATGTTGACTTTGGTGGGGAGCACAGCGGTGAGGGATAGATAATGTGTATAAGCAGAAAAATAACACTAGATGCCAAAAGTTAAAGTATAGTAGGTTGTATTGAATAATATGTATCTGCTGTAAAACAAACAATGTATAACAAATGTATTGAACCATGATAAAATAATTAAAAATATTTTTTAAATATCCCCCAGGAGGATGATTTTGCCCTCCTTAGGGCAATGATTTTGCCCTCCTCTGATAGGATGGTGTCCAGCTGACAGTAAAACTTTTCAGGGGGTTGAGAGTCATTTGTTAATGCCAATGGGTGTTGGAGCTCAGCCTGTGATTGTGTTTCAGGATCAGGGTGGTTTGGATGTGGGGAATGATCACAATGCGGTTCCTGAAAGTAATGGTGTTTCCAATGATATTGATGCAGAAAATGACCAGGAGATCCTTGATTGAAGTGTATTTTCTCACGAGAATGTCCCTGAAGGGTGTGAGGATGATGGTGTGCTCCCTGAACCGCTACCAGAGAATCCCCAAGATTTGGAGCTTGAGAACAGCTCGGCATCTGGCCCAGCTGCAGAAATTAATGAGCAAATAGATAGATGGGATGTTATTAGTGAGAATAGGAAAGCAGATCAGTGGCTCCGGCGTTCTGCCAGGCTCAGGGGAAAAAAGATAAGGGATTCAAGGCTAAAGCGAAACCAATTTCTGGCCACTTGGGACATAGCTTAACGAGGAGATAAAAGTCCCAAGTACATGATCTGTTGTCAGATGAAGCATCGTTTGGAATCAAGTCAAGATCTCGTCCCTGTTTCTTGGAAGCCTTGCTTTGGAAAGATTCGTGTTCTAAGTGCCTTTGATTCATGCTTTTAATTCTTGGATTTTATGATTATGTGTTTAAGTGCCTTGGATTCATGTTTCCAGTTTTTTTGGATTTTACTATAGAAGTTTCTGCCTTTGTTTTTCATGAACTTTGATGGACTAATTCCCTGAACTATTTTGTTCCAGCTTATCTTCCTACCTAATTGGATTTACCTATTCCTTTAAAGTGCTTTTTACTGTACTGCTTTTTAATTATCTTCAATAAAACAGATTGCATTTCTACTCAACTGTGTGGTGTTTAAAGTCAGAGGGCTTTTCCTGGTCTGGAGCGCAACAATGGGTGTCAGGATGTGCCTTCATGGTTCCAGGAGGTACCAAGCGAAGTCTTCTCCTGACAG